CAATAATGATCAGTTATAATACTAGTCTATGATACTCACAACAATTAAAAAACAAATACAATGACAAATTTATTGTCCCCATTTTTTATTTCATAGATAATGACAAGTGAGATTTCAATGACATTTTGACCACTGAACTAGGAAATGGTTTTCATTTCAGTAATCTGGTCACCACATTATCTACAGCTTTCATTTTAACTAGTATTTGAATGCAGTACTATGATGAATTCTATGCTTTCATTGCATAAATAAAGTGTCTCTAAATAAAGTGTTTTATGAGATAGAATTCTTCATTTAAGAGAAATAAACCTCCCACTGTATACTCTACTTTTCCTCTGGTTCTAAAATCTAAATATAACCACATTTAGTGTTTGTCTACCTACTTCTATCTTGTTTTGATTCCCTCCTGCATGATGAAACTATGAGGTCAGAATTCTCCTCTTTTGTGTTGCTTTCTTCTCATGTCAAGCTGTCAGCATCAACGCACGTTTCAAGAGGATTCAGTGTCATTTATCTTACAGGCCTGGATTTGGTTGCACAAAGAATGTATTTTATTCCTGATGAAATATGAAGGCTGATAACAATAACAAGTGCGAATCTGGAAGAACTACTGAAAAATCATGATCCTAACCTTACATACAAAATCTTTTCATTGTCAAAATATTGGTGTCCGGGTTTTTAAAAGCTTAGCTTAAAGGTGTGCTAAAAATGAGTGTTCATGAACGGCTCGGAGTGGAGCCTTTGAAATGAATTCAGTATGTCATGATTTAACCACCGGATTCTTCCAGCTTCCCTCTTCAGTGTCCTTATTTTATCTAACACTAATAATAATCTGGGTTAGCTCAGAGCGCAAACTAAGTCTCAGGAGCAAGGAGAAGCTAACTGAGTGGAAAATAAGCGTTAATATCAAAATTTACAGTCAGTTTTCTCTTCTGGGTCAACTGCTATTTATTCTTGCTGATAAACTTTGTCAATAAGCTATATTTCAATATATAAATGACAAAAAAAGCAAATTGGCAAAATTGACAAAGAAAGGCAACTCGCAAAAATTTTTTCAATGTAATTTAAAATGTGCATTTAAAATGATTTATTTATTTGTGTCCTTAATTCTACATATTGGCACCATCTCATCTCTGTTCGCATGCTTGCAAAAAGTATGTTTCAGGCCTTAAACTTGACATGAAACGGAAGTTGTGATAGCCTTTTCTTCCCTATTGTGGCATATCCGAGCGGGGCTTGATTTTGTCCATTGGGAATTGATTGGATGGTTGTGGTTTGCTATTGCTGTGATGTCTTGTGAGTGACAGGATGTCCCGCCCTCACGCCAGTAAACATGTCATCAGAGAAGAGATGTTGCTGCAAGAGGGAGGGAAAGTTATTTTGATTAAAGTTTATGAGGGCATGTGAATAAAAAAAAAGATGATGTGCAAGGATAAATCATTTGTAATATACGTTGCATTATTTCATATATTAAAAAAATAAGAACTGTCAATCTTGATTTGATGGTGACTTTAATATTGGGTTTGTATGAAAATACCAAACATTTTACATGAGTACTGGAGCCTGTAATGGGCCTATAAATAATGGTGGATATGACACTAATAAATAATACAACATGTAAATAATATAATACAAAAAATAACCAACAAAACATACATTTTTTCTTAACAGGGTTGTTAAAATTCATGGGCCCTGGGACAAAACAGGAGGCACGGAACAAATCTGAATCTGAAAGTATAATTTGAACCAACAACATGTGTGACCACTGCAGGATAAACACTTTTTGAGAAGACAGTACTTGTTATATTAAAATGCACATTGCCATGAATGAAATAAATATTTATATGTCAATATATCTCCTCCAGAATGAAATATAAATCAAAATAAAGAGGGAGGTATGATGAATCAGATCATAAATACTAAACTAAATCAATATCAAACAATCAAAACATATATGGTAGAAACAATTTATTAGTTCTTATTTTATTAATATTAGTATTAATACTTTTATATTGTCCCAGCTAACAGGAAACGTTCTCAGAACTTTGACTAACATTCTGGCAAGGATGTCTCAAAGTTATGAACAAACATTCTTCTAGTAATGTTAATAAAATATTTGTTCAAAGTTATGTCTTTAATCGAGCACAGCGTTAGTTCAGACAGGCCACGTAGGCATAGGCTGCGATCAGCTGACGCGGTCAGCTGTCAAATCGCTCCAACCACTACCGTTCTCCAATTAGACCGGAAGGATATACACGCGGCACTTCCGCCTGGGATATATGGTTAAACTGCTCGCAACCCTCCCCCCCACTCTGACCACTAAGTATCAAGCATTTTTCTGTGCACCTTTTGGCTGATGTCTTCTTTGTTTCAGATCACGGCTTCCAAGTCCTAGAGTCACGGACATCATCATGAGAAACACACCCTCCCTCATGGCATAGACGTCCCGGACTTCACTGATACATTTAAACCACAGCTAAAGACATTACTAACTGTCTTAATCATCTGTTTATTGCCAAGCCGATGGTTCCATAGGGGGGTTAATGCTAAAGCCATGTATGTCATTAATTATGGAGCAAGAACCCCCATAAGGAACCATACCGCCAAAGATAAATTGTGTTCAATAAACTCAAGTAAACTTGCCAAAGTGGTCTCGTCTGAAATAATGTTCTCTAAACGTTAGCACAACAACGTTATTTATATATCGTTTTCTGAAACGTTTCAGTTGGATGTTCATCCAACATTATTGAGAACATTTCAGAGAACATTCAATAGTAACTTTAATATTTGCAAAATGATCAATTGGAATGTTTTCTCTTAATATAATAACTAGACAATTTGAACATCCAGAGAAGATTCAGAAATAGAGTTTCATAAGTTAATATGAGCATTAGCAAAACGTTCTTATGGTGCGTTCAAGTCATCTCGTATAGATCATATTTACGAGTTGAACGCACTTGAACGCCACCACAATGTCATACATACCAGTGGGGAGCTAGGGATTTTCCCCGATCTTTCCGAGTTGTGGGCGTGTCACTGAGAAACATGGCGGAATACCACAATACTTAAATATTAGGCAGTGATATTGTCAATATTTTCTATTTACAGCGCAGTCAAAGGGTTAGTTCACCCCAAAATGAAAGTTCTGTCAGTATTTACTCACCCTCATATTGTTCCAACCCCGAAAGACCTTCGTTCATCTTCGGAACACGAATTAAGATATTTTTGATGAAATCTGAGAGCTGGATCACTCCTCCATACTAGTCCATAGGCTTCTTCAGGGATTGAACTTGCCGGCCTCGAAAAGTTATTAAAGACATCGTTAAAATAGTCCAAGTGACTACAGTGGCTCAATCTTAAGTTTATCAAGCGACGAGAATACTTTTTGTGCGCAAAAACAAACAAAAATAACGACTTTATTTCAACTATTCATTTCCTTCTCTTTGGGCCTCGAGTCAGTTAACGTAGTGTGATTCCGTAGAGCTACGTCACACGTAGGCTCACTATTGGCCGACTCTGGTCATGTGCGTGATGCGTGTGACGTACAACAACAGAAGCTTACGCTATTACACTAGTGAACTGACTCGAGGCCCACATAGAAGGAAATGAATAGTTTAAATAAAGTCGTTATTTTTTTTTTTTTGCGCACAAAAAGTATTCTCGTCGCTTGATGAACTTAAGATTGAGCCACTGTAGTCACTTTTGGGTGAACTAACCCTTTAAGCTAATTGCTTGCACAGAATATGACATTATAATATAACAATGCAACATGTAACGATAAAGTCGGCAGTGGCTTCATAAATTAATTAAAAACATTAAAAAAACAGAGTACATCTGATGCCAATTTATTTGTTCTTCATTTTCTAGAACAAGAGTTTAAGAACCTTATTGTATTTTTGTGTAATTAATTAAGAGAAAGTACTCCGCCATCTTACTCCGACGAAAGTGACTTGAACGCGCCTGCCGTCGCAAACACGACTTCCCACCTCGTACGTACGAACTTCCCAGGAGGACTTGAACGCACCATTAGAACATATTTCCTAGCTGGGATGTCAAGGCGTGCTAGCTCAAGTGATTTTGTTCTTAATTTTATTGCTATGCTCATTTCATCACAGCATTGGCACCATGTCCCTTGTCCCTGTCTGGACCCTTGTCTTTGTCTAGACACACCCGTCACCAAAAACACGTAAAAGAACAAATGTACCCCTATCTGATTGAACAGTGACCTGATGGAACTGTCTTGTGAAACACTGAGTACATACTATCATAAATATTAGCAAGAAGTTGCTGATAGATATCTAGCCTCATAGTGCTCTTGTATGATCTTACAGAAGCAATGTGTCAGTTCATCCTACAGCTGTTGGGGATAATGTGATACATCTTTATGGCAAATTTCCACTGGCCTGAAACATATCATGTTTGCGATGACAAATTCTGTGACTTAAGCAACGATACTGTAGTTTAGTGACACTAGTTTTTAGTTTCAGTAAAAGTAATAATGGTACAGAGCTTGAGGTGAACTTGAAAATAGGTCACTTAGGATCTGTTTTTTTATGATAAGGTACAGTAACAAGTATCTGACCAGATAAGATAAGACCGTATTTATGGTGTTTGTGTTTGAATGTGAAGAGCTTTAAATATTAGCACACTTTTATTTAGGCTACTATAAAATGTAGGCCTATTTGTAAGATGTATGCATTCGCATTTTTCCTCACAATCTCAGGTCAATAAAGTAGCACAAAGTTTTCATTGTATTCTCAAGTGTTTTGAATAGCATTCCATTTCAATCTATTGTGAACAGCCTCAAGGGAATGGACATACACACCATGATTCCACCATGAGAGATACACTAAATCTCATTGTGTTTGTCAAAGAAAAAAACTCTTCATTTTAAAAATCTGACAGAAATCCTGTTTTTTTATTGGCCAGAAAAAATCTTAGCTGACATTTAGTGTCATGTTGTGTTTAGCCCTCCCTGTATTTCTCCCCACCCCTTCATGCGGAGTTCCCCATCACTCAAAACTAAAGGGACATGTGCAGCAACAAAATGAACAGGGGAATAACGCATTTAACAGGTATTTTTGTCTTTGATTTCTTAAAATATTTATCTAATGTAAAAGCATCAAATGATCTTATTCCTTTTTTGTCAGGCCTGAATTTGCTCTTTCAGTTCGGTAAGGTGATTTTCAATTCACTGTGTGAAAGATTATTCATTCAAATTACATCACCAAAGAATTACTGCTGACATATTGTATCTTATACTCGGTTTCTCAGTAACCTGTTCAAGACTGGTGTGTTACTTCCCAAACTGGTCTCAGTACAGAGCAGGAACTGCTAGATACCTTCCCGAGAATGTGGACCCGAACTTGTGTACTCATTTGATCTATGCATTTGCCATTATAAACTATGCCAATAACATAGCTGCAAGTGAGTGGAATGATGTGGCCCTTTATTCGACCTTCAATGCACTTAAGAACAAGTATGTTTGTAGCTCATGCTACATGTTTCTAGTCTTATTTATATTTGATTTGTCAAATGTTCTGCTATGTGACAAAGAGCTCATAAAATGTCTGTTTCATTTCTAAAGAAATCCTCAGTTGAAAACCTTGTTGTCTGTCAGGGACCAAGATTCAAGCCAGTAAGTGTTCCTTCTGTGTTTCTGAGTAAAAGTTGCCCTCTACTGGTAACATACCATTTTTATATAAAAGCTTTCTTCTTTTCATTTTCATTCAAAAGGTCAGTTTGCAATTAATCTGAAATATTTGTAAGCCACATTACCAGTTAAATAAGCAGCCATACATTTTCATGTTCACACCAGATTCTCCAATATGTTGTCCAACTGGACAAACCGTCAGACATTCATCAAGTCTTCTATAGAATTTCTGAGGAAGTATAACTTTGATGGGCTGGATTTGGACTGGGAACACAAGGGCACTCCAGAGACGCGTCCGGAAGATAAGTTGAAATTCACTCTTCTGTGCAAGGTTAAGACTAATAATATGTTTTCAAATGGGGTTGCAAGAGTTTTCCAATGGATCATAAGAGGTCAGAGAGACACCTTATCTGTGTAAAATTTTAGTGGTACATAAATGTAACACTAAATTTAACACTATACTGTACAAACATTTGGGGTCAGTAGAATTTTTTTAACGGATTTTGAAGAAAAAAAAGTATCTTATGCTCACCAAGGCTGCATTTATTTGATCAAATACAGTAAAACCTGTAATATTGTGAAATATTATTAAAATTTAAATAACTTTTCTATTTGAATTTTTTCAGGATTATTGGATGAATAGAACGTTTAAAGCATTTGTTTGGAATATAAATCTTTTGTAACATTATAAATGGTCTTTATTGTTACTTTTGATCAATTTAATACATCCTTGATAAATCAAAGTATTAGTATTATCTTTAAAAAAACAAACTTTTGAACGATAGTGTACAAGGATGGAAATCAAACCATAATTGGGCAATTTATTGGCAATTGGCTTTTTAAAATCTTACCAAATGTATTGAGGTTTATGCTTTTAAACAAGCCAAAAATACAACTTGCTAAAGGACTAAATAAAACCCTTTTCCAAAAAACTTTGGTGAAACTTTAGGAACTTCTGGAGGCATTTCTAGCTGAAGGCCAGTCACACAAAGATGCGAGACTGATTCTAACAGCAACTGTTTCAGCACAGAAAGAAGTCATTGAAAGGAGCTACAATATTCAAGAGATCTCAAAGTAAGAACAACATGTCATTCCATGTCTATCCTTTCTTATGATCATTTTAAAAATGGCAGTTGAAAACAGTTTAAAAATGTGGAAACATTTTTTTTCTAGGTATTTGGACTTTATTAGTGTCAAGACATTTGATTTCCATACGTTTAAAGATGGCATTGTGAGACATCACAGTCCTTTGTACAGTGCTGTCCATGACCAGGAAAATATTAACTCAAACACCGTAAGCACAGTGACTGACATTGAGCACATGGGTTTCAAGACAGTGAATAACTTTAATTTGGTACTGTGTGTAGTTTGCATAATTTCATCTTTCATGCAGGATTTTGCCCTACAATACTGGAGATTCCAGGGAGCTCCTGCCAAGAAGTTGTTGATGGGCTTTGCCACATATGGACGTTCCTTCATCCTCACCTCCTCTCCAGCCAATAACTTTGCCTCTCCTGGACCTTATACACAAGAGATGGGCTTGTGGTCTTACTTTGAAGTAAATGGAAACATCATTTCTGGACAGAAACTAACGGCTTGCAAATACTTGTCAGTGATATCAAGTTAAGGAATATTTTCTTTTTTCAAGATATGTCTTTTCCTAAATGGTGGCGTAGTACAGTGGATTGAAGACCAGAAAGTTCCTTTTTCTGTTAAAGGCAGTGACTGGGTGGGATTTGACAATCTAAGGAGCTTTGAGATTAAGGTAAATTTCAATTAAGTCACGTAATACTGTTATGTCTACTTAAAGATTATTTTACATGACAAATAACAGCACTGCCTTGTATTGTTAAGATAAAATACTTACAGGAACATAGCTTTGGAGGTGCGTTTGTATGGGCTCTCGACCTGGATGACTTTTCTGGAAATTTCTGTGGACAAGGCAGTTACCCTTTAGTTAACAACCTGAAGAAATGGTTAATACTTGGTGAGATTTTCATAAATAAATAGATTTTTTTTAATGGTTATTTATGATCAGATTCTGAAATATATTTATTTATTTGCAACAGGAGCCTCCATGGCTACAAGCACCAGCACTCCCAACAGCACTTTTGCAACAGTTGGGAAGGGCTCTTCACCGCCAACATGTGTGAAAACTCTCAGCTCTCTTACAGCACTGGGAAGTCAGTTCTGTACAGATAGATCAGATGGACTTTATCACAGAATGGATTCCCTTAACTCCTTTTATAGCTGTACTGGAGGAATGACAAATATCACGTGGTGCACCCCTGCCGTTTTAAATCATTCTGGGGCAACACGACCATCCCAGATTATCATTTTCATTACATTAGGAAGTGCAAGTCTCCTAACTCTGTGGCATTGGCTTAGGAGTAACGAACTGATTTAATGTAAAAACATGGATGGAAAGACGACTCAGCACAAGTTTTAAAATCTCTATTAGCTTATTGCAGGATACAGCCTGCTATGCATGTTGAGCATTGTTGTGAATGTTACTGGTAAATCTTTTTTTAACTTTTTTTTTAAGTCGGCATGAAACGGAAGTTGCGATAGTAGTTTATTCCCTATTGTGATGTGTATCAGAGTGAAATTTAGGGCGACATTGATTTTGTCCATCTGGAATTGTTGGATGGTTGCTGTTTGCTGTTTGGATGTGAGTGACAGGTTGCTCCGCTTTCACAGTATCATCAAAGAAGAGAAGAGATGCTGCAAGAGGGGAAGCTATTTGGATTATAGATTAAGAGAGCACAGGGGCACATACATTTTTTTTTATATAATGACTGTGCACAGATAAAACATTTATAATAAATACGGCAATATTTCATAAAAAAAAACCAAGAACAGTCAATTTTGATTTCATGGTGACTTAAAAAGTCTGCTTTAAAATGAGCCTAATTTACCTGTGAGCCATTTTAGTCAATAGTAAAGCAACTCCTTTATCATAGAAAAGTGGCTCACTAATTTTTGTTGGATGTAAAAAATGTTTCTAAAACAAAACTGTTTTAGCAAATTGCCTCTACACATGTAATGTGAAACAAAAGATGTACTGTTGCATGTATTTACTGTTTTATTTTTCTTATTAATAATAATTATTATTATTATTATACATTTCATTGTTGGTGTCATTAAAATTATACATTAGTAAGTGAGCAACATTGTCTGTGTATTTTTGGCTATTCCACATTGTGACTGATCTGTGTCAGTTTATAGTCAGTTATAAATAAACCATGCAAAATATTGCTTTTATTCTTTTTATTGGGGCAATTTAACAAAAATAAAAATCCCACAGTATAGGGACTATTCTAGCTAACCTGACTGCAGTAGCCAATCAAGATTGCCGTGTTTTCACATGCGCTTCAGACACTGGTTCATGCGTGTATATGAGGTCAACACTGTAACGAATCACACAATAATAATATACATAAAATGTATTTAAGGGGGCCGGAAGGCCAATTTAGCTCAAAAGGAATGATTCATCGATTTGCAATGAATCTTGACCGAATCACTATGGAACCGAGCAAATGACTCGTTTAGAGTTCATTTGAACGGGCCGTAATTATAACCTTGGCAACAGATATGAATATCCAATCTATAGTGAAACACTATGTATTAGCAAGGTAACTTTAGATCGACAGTACAAGACATTAAATGTGCAAGCACAACACAAGGCAAATATCTTTTCAAATATAATGACGACTTTATTAACTATTCTAAACACATAAAACTAAGGTCTAAACACAATCACACACACACGCATTCATACAAGGCGCAGAGGAAGAGAGAGAGAGTGAGTTTTCACGTGAGATGCACTTTGTAAGACATGACCTGAACGAACCACCAAGCATTAATTTAAACCTTCGTTTCTTAGACAGGTTATTCAATTTACATTTAAAGCACCAGTCAGTTAGAGTCTGGAGTAAGTTACTTGCTTGTCTTTGTGTTGCTCAGGGAGTTCCGTTTTTGCGGTGCTTCGTCAAAGGGGTTTCCCGACCGGGTCCGTGTGGCTGGTTGTCTTTGAAGTGCCTGGATGGAAGTTTCTGAACAGCCGGTCACGTGTGGTTGGCAGGCGAATAAGAGTCTTTACAGTTTGAAGCGCGTTGCAGGAGAGACGTTTAAACGAACTTCGCAGCAACTTAACTTTGAACCGAGACTTTTACGAAAACAAGAAAATAAAGGAAGAAATGAAAGTAAGACGAGTTAGATGGCTTGAATGAGCTGTTTTAACCCCGATCTTGATGGGTTATTTGTCTGCTGGTCTAATTTGGTCTGGTCGATGTAGAAGCGTGCGAACACGCTCTTTGGTGTTTTCAGAGAGAAGCACGAACAGGAACACTCTCTTGCTGTTGCTAGAGAGAGGCGCAAACTTAGTTCAACACCGAACCGAACTCAAAACCCCGAACTGCTCTCTGAACCGAATTTCTTTTTCTAACTCTTACTCTAACTCCTTTGTTCGGGTCTTTAACTTAAAGTTAGTCCGACCTCTTTTGGAGAATTCTGACCAATGAGACAATGGCATCATTGTGGGAGGTGGATCGAGTTCCTAGTTATCGTTATCTGGGATCTGCTTGGGTTCCAGCACTTAGCAGAGAACAAGAGACCCCAGTTTAAACATTATAGATTATTATAATCATACAAAACATTTTACACAGATTTCAAACAAGCCACCTTTTGAATTAAAGACATACGATTCTTTTGATTGGAAGCACGATACTCTTTCATCCATACACACAGTTATATCACAATTACATGATTTATATGTGATCTACGCATAATACAAACATGAATTGTAGGAACAACAAGAATTATGATGTTTGATTAAGTCCACGGAGCATTGTTCTGCGTGAGTTTTAATTGGTTTGATATGTGAAGTCTGTAAGTCTCTCACGTTCCGTGAAAGCGTGGTCTGTTTTACATCGCTGTCCTGCTCAGCAGTGGTGGTGCTGAGGGAGGTCAAAGGTTGTCAGGCCCCTTGGTGGTCAGGCCTGTTTCACCATTTTTGAGCAGCTTTGTCTTGCTTAAGGATGAGACAGTGACAACGTTCTTCCTGTTTAGGCTTATCTCTTGGGCCATAAAAGTCTTCTCTGGGGGGTTTTCTAGACAATTTGGAGCCAGTCTTGTGACTTTGGAATGTGGTATTCAGATCCGAAATGCTGAATCACATTTGAATAAATCCCATGAGAGATTAGAAAGATTAATTCGTGTTTGGTTCATCCTTAAAGTCTCTACAACACTATGCAGATGCAGTGTTGAAGTTCCATTTCAAAATGCGAACTGTACACATTTCTTCTGCTGGACACAAAAGAAATATCCTTTTAAAAAAGTCTCCTGCTATTCCTCGCACAACCGCTATTTTACGGCTCCTGAAAACGTTTTCAATGGGGTCCGCAAGGGAGTTTAAAGGGGTCGAAGGAGGAGTTTAGAAATTAAAATAAAAAAATAATAATAATATAAATTATTATCTCGGCAAATCAGAGTGGCACAGATCATGGTGCTGAGTTGCACTGACTGACTGACTGCACAAAGTTTCCACCTTCTTCTCTCCACCTGCCTCACCTACTGTGAACTTCCAGGCAAAAGTTTGAGAGAGAGCCAAACGAGCATCAGCTGTACAGTAGTCTTGTGATTCTGTGTTGAAGATTTTTGAAGATTTTTATGATGGAAGAGCTAAAACAGCTGTTGGAGGAACGGATTAATCGCCTAGAAGATCTAATCACCAGAGTGCTTCTCCGGTCAGATAATGGGTCCTACTCAGTAAGTGTACCAACAAATGCTAATGCTAATATAGCAAAACATGCTACCATAAGGCCAGAAAGCTTAAGAAAACTGGTGAATAAATCTGAACTACTCCAGAGCGAACGGATGAATGAGACGAGAACGCAGCTCGAAATTCGGGAAAGCGAACGGATGAATGAGACGAGAACGCAGCTCAAAATTCGGGAAAGCGAACGATTTATTGACTCTGTGGCAGCTAATCTAGGGCTTGAGCCACTAGATAACGGACTCACTCAGATTGATATTCAAGAGCTTACCGGTATCTCCAATCTAGACCATTCTGTCACGGACTTGATTGACGTTTTCCCCAGCACATGTGTTGATGTCACTGGTTTGGCCGGGGAGGCTTTCAAATCGAACTTCCCCGGTGGCTCGTCTTGGCACAGGTACGGGGCTAGACCGAAGGCGTCAACTCCAGCAGGGACCTGGTCTGATGTTGTGCGACGCAGGGATAAGTCAAACGGGAAATCAAGAATGAGAGCGCCCGTCCTCAGATCGCCGCCAAAAATCGTGCTACAAAATAGGTACGAACCTTTGACTCAGAATGAAATGTCTATAAATGAACCTAGGGACGCTAACTACAGTACTTGCACAAGGTCCAAACAAAATCTAAGGAATGGCCCTAAAACTATTGATAGTATGGGCGAAAGAAGAAACATTGCTAACCTTACGGATAAGTTAGATACGATCTTGATTGGGGATGATATAACCAAACATATCAGAATGGCAAAGACTGAAAATCTAACAATGCCTGATACATCGGTTAGAGAGCTAACAGAAATGTTGCCAGTTGTTCTCTCCACATATCCAAGCACCATGCAAATTATTATCCACACTGGGTCTTTTGACATTCTACAAAGGAAAACGGGATCTGAGATCCTAAAAAAGGATTTCTCTTTGCTATTGAAGGAAATAATTAATCTCCAACAACAAGTTTTTATCTCAGGTCCCATTCCAACTATGGGAAAAGGAATTGAATCTTTTAGCAGACTCCTCGGGCTGAATACATGGCTGACATCGGCTTGCCTCAACCATGGGATAAGGTTTATTGACAATTTTAATATCTTCTGGAACTGTAAAGACCGTTTTAGATCCGATGGGGTACATCCAAATATCATGGGGTGCCGTTTGCTTGGTGCTAATATACGTCATGATGTTGGGATGCCTTTCTCAAATAAGACATGTAAGAAGGACAGTACTCACAGGCAGATTATCCATTCACTCATCCCAGCTTCTCCAATTACAGACAATCGCTTTCAGAATTTGCCTCGCGCCAAAAAAGGGGCAAAACAACACCCAACTCTCTCACTATCATTTCTACCTCATTCACATCCCCCGCAACTATTACATACACCCTCCTCTCCTTCATTACATCCATCTATGAGGGAGTTAGTTTTAACCAAAGTGAGCAAACCTCGATCTACTCTTTGTCCCTCCCCACCCCGTTTTTTAAAACGAGCGCTTAGACAACTGCCACATCGTCAAGCATCTTGTCCATTAACTATACAGAGCACAAAACACACTAAGTGATGTGTTCCGGGTTCCTGCCATTGTGAAAATAACTTTGCTGATTGTGTTGAGTATAAGCTAGGACCCGGTATTTCTATTCCTGTGATGATTGGAAATAGAATGAATCGTGATGAGCGTGTAACTAATAAAATAAATCAGTCTAATCTGTTAACTGTACCACGCCAACCCACCAGTTTAGGATCCCCCACTATATCTATTAAATTGGCCTTACTTAACATTAGATCCCTTGCCAACAAATCATTCTTGGTAAATGATATTATATCATCCCATAACTTGGATTTTATGTTTCTTACTGAAACATGGCTTACAGAGGACTGTAGTGCTATCCTTAATGAGACAGCTCCTGAAAAATTTGCGTATTTGACTACATGTCGAAATGGTAGGAAAGGAGGAGGGGTGGCTGCCTTATTTAAAGATACATATCAGTGTAAAGAAAATAAATTAGTTCATTTTACTTCGTTTGAATATCTTTGTTTTATATTGAAGGGTACTCCCAAAATTCTGTTTGTAACGATTTATAGACCACCGCGATATTCTGCTAATTTTATTGAAGATTTTGCTGAATTACTCTCTATTATATCGGTTGATTTTAAGTTGTTTATTATTACAGGGGATTTTAATATTCATATAGATAATAGTACAGACAATAATGTCAAAGATTTTTTTGCACTTTTAGACACCTTTGACCTCACTCAACATGTGAAAGAGAGTACACATACTCATGGTCACATTTTAGATCTGGTTATTTCGAAAGGTCTTGATATGTTATCTGTCATGGTTAAGGATTTAGCCCTATCTGATCATTTTTGTGTCTTTTTTGAATTGTCTACTACTTTTAATTTGCCAGTAAACTCTGTTTTTATCAAGAAAAGGTACATTAGTGAAAATACTCATGTTCAGTTTATAGAAGCTATAGCCAGATCTCCAACAATAAGTGCTGAGTCAGTTGATGCACTTCTAGATAATTTTAATGCTAAAATATTGAATGTCATCGATGGTATTGCACCAGTAAAAGTAAAGAGAAATATGAGCAAACAAAA